AATAAATTCCAGAAACAGACTGTCCCTCGAAGATCAAAATTGAAAACCTTAGCAATAAAGAAGACGACGAAAAGGGAATATGGCTCGAAACAGCCAATTCTGAAGCAAGTGCCTGTGCTGCGTATGAGAAATATGATGGATTCGCGTAGGTGGTGGTAGAGACAGGAAAAGGAATGGCGAGACGAGATGTGAGGTAGAATTGGATTTGGGGTTTAGGGTTGGAGCAATTTGACCACAAAAAACGAGAATATATGAGAGAGAAAGGGCGTGGCGCTGGTTGGAAGCGAGAGATGACTAATGATTTTGTTCACCATTTTTTGTTGGATGGGGTCACCCAACTCGACTCGGGCTCGCTCGCCGATCCTAACTCGTTCCTCTTTCTCTGTCTATCTATTTCCCCCTCTCTCTCCCGCCACTCTTTCCTTTTACTTTCCCTCGCCTTCTACACACGGTCTCGCTGCAAGTTTTGGCGCAAGTTAAGGAATTGCGCACCTTGTCGTACATTATCTTCTCTCATTTGTTCAGCTCTTGGGACACGTGTCACATCCTTAAAACCCTACAGAGCGGCGAATCGGTACCCCGGAAAGTGAAAACCCTGGAACGCCCGATGGGTGACGTGCCATTTCACTGTTATCTTTTTTTGGAGATTGCAATTAAGTCCAAAAATAATAATTATTATTATTATTTTTATCCTAATCAGACCTCGTTTAATAAACAATATCTTATAATTAAAATTGGAGATAATATAAAATTTTAAATAATAACTGAATAACTGACAAGTTCTCAGGTATGAATAATAACTCTTTATTTGCCATTAAATTTTTTGTAGTTATCTTCTTTTTATAACACTCTATTTTTTTTTAGGCCTGAAATTTGGTCATTTTGGAATTTCGATGTTTTTACTTCTTCCTCAACACTTCGGACACGTTGCCAGATAATAATATTATCTTGGGTTCTTAATATAAAATCTTATTTGATTTTTATTTTAATTTTAAATATAAGACCTCAATTCATTTTGTCTCTCATATCTATACACTTTTTTCCAAAGTAACTCTTCTAACAATAATAGTTCTAGTCAATACACTTGATTAGTAAGAATATTTTAGAAAGACAACACCTATTTAGGACAAATAACTAACTCAACTTATTTTTTTAATCTCCTCAAATTAGTCAACTGATTCTTATAATTAGAACCGGAAGTAGTACTGACAGCTTGACACGATTTCTGTCTATTTATTTAGCTATTGATTGGAAAATAATAATTTTGCTGGGCATTTTTATCGACAGTGAAAACTATTTCTGCAAAATATGTGGATAAAATGTAAACCCTTGAGCTCATGATACGAAAGCTCTCAACATTCCTGCTATTCTAAATTAGCTTTGCCTTCCAAATTAATTTTATTTCTACGATATTTTTCCTGTTAATTAATGTTTCTTCAGATTTTAGTCAGCTGAGAAATTTATTTAGAGCACAATCTTCCTTAAATTATTTTGATTTCATACGATTTTTTGAGGGAAAAAAAGGCCTTTATCATGTGGCTCGTCATATTTGTTACTACCCTAAATCCTTAATATAAAAGTCTATTGACTAATTTAAGTAAATTAAAAAAATTTGTTATGTTGGTTTATTTATAATAAATAGGTATTATCTTTTTTAAAATATCGGTATTAATCAAGCGTATTATCTAAAACTACCACTTGATGAAATATTTAGCAGGTACAACTAATGTAAGGATTCTCTTTAAAAAATGGATAAACAAAAAAGACAAAATATGGTGAGATTTTATATTTAAAATCAAATTAAAAGTCAAATTAGTTCTTATATTAAAAACTATATATAGTATTGATTCAAACACTAACATTCATTAAAATGGATGGTCTTTTATCTCCAGAAGGTCCTTAATTCATGATTCGTGAATGAAAAAAGGAATAATCCCCAAAAAATATTTAAAATTTAAAATTTCAAATCAATTTTGTTTATTATACTTTAATAATAATTGAAAATATTTGAAAAACAAATGATAACATATTTTTGTATTCATTCATAATTTAAAATTTTGAAATTTTAGAAATATTTTTTAAGGGAATTGTCCCGTAAAAAAAAAGTCGTTGAAAGGGTTTTATATGAACACCTGGTTTAATTTTGATTAGTCAAAAATCAGCACAACACCTTGAAATTAATTGATATGTTAAAAATTCATGAAATGTGTGCATCGAAATTGAAAAAGCGCACACACAAAAGAAAATACATGGAATACGTTGTCTTTTTTCTTTTTTTTTACAGTCATAAACCCTGTATCAATTATACGCTTATGAAAATATTTGATGACAAATTACAAACTTATGAATAATACACCCCTCCATAAAAATTATATTTTATGTTTAGACATATTAACTACATTTTGAGGCACTCGATCTTTTGTATATTGAAATATCATGTATTATATTTATCGTGACAGGTTATCAAATCACACATAATTGTGTATTGTATTTTTAAAATATTAATATTTAATAGTATTTAATTGTAAATCCACATAACATAAATAAAAAAAGACACAGAATATTATTGAAAAACTTGACCTAATAATATAAATAACTTTATATAGGTTTTCTTCAATATAGGCAATTGCTAGCCAGTCCAGCGGATGCTTCTATAATCGCATTTTGTTCCTCTGTGCATTTTAAAGCTAATGGAGTGTTAAGCATAGCATGTTGCTAACCCGCCAATTTAACATTGAAAGTCTAATTCTAAGATTCAAGAGACGTCGGGACATGATCTCTGTGAAAATTTTGAGGTTTAGAGGAGTAGCTTAATGGAATATAAATGCTTAACTATTGAGACTGATGCCACGTGCAATATTATAATCCAAACATATTTTAAATTTTAAAAAATAAAAATAATATTTGATCATTCAACGAAACGTGAAGTGTATAATTAGATTTCATTGCGGTTTCGTTGGCAAAAAAAAAAAAAAAAACAGAGAGAGAGGGAGAGAGAAAGAAAAAGATTTCATTGCGGTTTCACTACAATACTTCGATTTGAGGTTCCACTGCTTGCTCGTGAGAAGTGAAAACTGGAGTTTTTCTTCCTGGAAAAAAGAAAAGGAAGCTTCAACCATGAAACGGTGAATTATATAGTCCGCGATAAAAACCGATGCATTGCGTCTTCCGCAACAATAAACATAGCACGACGGCAAGAAACAATAGCAACACAGAGGAGTGCATAATAATAACTAAAAGGACTCATTGAACTGTCCAAGTCCCGAGCATATAACGCAGGCTCGCTCCTTATTAATAAGTCGAGGTTTCGCCAGATAGATGCATGAGGATGGCCAAGCAATTACCGCCCAACTGGAACAGAGTCTTCGAATCCTCCGGGAAGGGAATGGAACCCCCACCCTCCTTAAAAGCATCTTCACATGCCTGTTGGTACGACAGCACCGACGAGAACTTCATCCAGGCATCGTACACGTCGTTCTGCTTGACGGAATCCAAACAATCATTTATAGTATCCACAATCGATGAGTACTGGTCTGCGCATATGTCCAGTGACGCCTTTTCGTCTTTCGTGATATCTGGTTTGGCTTGCAAAGCCTTGATTGTCTCAGAGACCTTTGTAGTGATGTTCATGGTCGCCCCCATTTCGACCTTCACGGCCACCACGGGGTCAAGCGCGCCTTGGATGAATGGCGCGATGGTGTTCACGCACAGAGGTGGAGACTCTGCGTCACTGCACAGAGCTGTCAGCTGAGCGTTGTGTGACGCCGCTGTGTTGCCTCCGAGGTCGTCGGAGGGAGACGGAGCTGGGGCTGCCGACGGAGGCTCTTCGAGCAGTTTGACGCGATATGAGGGAACGGCGTCGATGCCCGAAAGGAGCGAGCAACAGATGAGGGGAACCACGAGGATAATTTTTTTATTAAACTCCATTGTCTCTATCTCTTTTATTCGAAGAGGGCGGGTTCAAGAGCAGAGACAAAGGTTGGAAAAGCCCGCTGCTCCTCTGCTTTTATATGGGCAGGTGGATCTGTGCTGTGTTTTACTGAAAATAGTGTCTGACTCTTGTTTCTCTGTTATAAATTTAGCACTTTCTTTTCCGGGTGTGTGGTTTGTATGTTGGCCATGGTTTTCATTCTCGTGAAATTTCACCAAAATTTTCGGAAACTGAGGTCTTGACGTGGTCAAATTAATAAGAGAGAATTATAGTGAGAACTCGGGAAAAAAAATTACAGAATAAGTCTTAGATATTATTATTTACTTTAAAACTGTCATTATAAACTATTTAAATTGTTAGATCTTTTAATAATTATTTTTTTTAGGCTTGTAATTCTTCCAATTGCATTTTAGAATTTAAAATATTCCCCAGACGTTTTGCTATTTTCGGCGTCCTTCATACAGGCCGAACCAATACGATATCCACTAGACAACAAACATGGCAGAAGGCCCTGGACAAGCAAAGCAGATACAGGAAAACACGGGCCAGCCCCAGAGCTGTTACGTTCCACGGGGACATCATGTAAATTGCAATATCTATTTTGAAATCATTTATTGTTTGATAAAAGTGTTCGTGATTGAAAACACTGGCTGACCCAGTTACCACCGCTTCTTCCTCCTCTTCTTTTTTACTGTATCCAGCAAAAGCGAAAAAGAACTCGTAAAGATGCTTATAAGAAATGAATGCAGGGTAGCCACTAGCCACTGACCGTTCGGATTTCATTTGATATGCCAGCTAAATAAATGTATTTTTGTAATTTAAAAAAATGAAAATAAGGAAATGCCCGATTGCCCCTTGCTAGCAGATGGCGGACACTGCAACGGGGGAGATCGGTGGCAGGATATGAGAACAACAGCACTTTAAATTTAAACCCTTTTTCCACTTTGATATTTGATACTCCTCCGGTCTTTAATATAGGATCCAATTCTTGAGTTAGTTTTGGTTCTAAATATAAGACCCATTCCTCATATTTATCAATTTTCTCTAAATTACCCCTATAGATACTCCTTCAACCATAATTAAGTATAAGAGAGAGGAGGGGTATTAAGAAAGATGGCTATGGTATTTTAGGAAAAATGTGTCACTTTTCTTATAATTAACTAACTTACCTAACTTCCTTAATCTAATCAAATTAGTTAAATGGGTCTTATATTAAGGACCGGAGGAGTATAACGTCTTCATTCATTCTTCCCTTCACACAGTAAAAGCTTTTCTTTCCTTCTCTGCTTTAGGCTCTGGGTACATAATACTACCTCTAATCCTAATTATAAGAGTCAGTTGATTAATTTGAGGAGATTAAAGAAGTAAGTTAAGTTAGTTACTTGTCCTAAATAGGTGTTGTCTTTCCTAAAATATCTTTACTAATCAAGTGTATTGACTAGAATTATACTCCTCCGGTCCTTATTATAAGACCCAATTTGACTTTTTATTTGGTCCTAATTATAAGACCCAATCCATTTTCTCTCTTATATTTATGCATTTTTTCCCAAGATAATCCTTCTAATAATGATAGTTTTAGCCAATATACTTAATTAGCAAGGATATTTTAGGAATAACAATACTTATTTATTATAAATAATCAATTTAACTTACTTCCTTAATCTCCTCAAATAAGTCAATTGGGTCTTATAATTAGGACCGGAGGAGTAATTACTATAAGGACTATTTTGAAAAAAAATTGAGTAAATATGAGAGACAATATGGATTGGGGTCTTATATTTAGGATAAAAATAAAAGTCAAATAGGGTCTTATATTAAGAAATTTCCTCACATCTCACCCTGCTTGATGGTTGACTTTCAATACTCTACAGTACTTCAAATAAGATTGCGTCCAATATAAGAGTACCTATACCTAACAAAAAAATCAACTTAAACAATTTTAATTCAAAATTTTTAACTTTCGATTTTAAATAATAAATTCACTTTTTATCGTAATGCCAATTATACAAATATTTTATTTTATTTAAATAAAATTATTAAAAAATATAAAATAACTAATATTAAATTTAGACTATTCAAATTTAATTTATGCCGTAGATATTAGTGTCTATCACTACCATTGCCCTAAAAACCTTCATAACTGGGGGATCAAACGGGCTCTCTTATTGGATCACCGACTATAGAAATACTGGGCTCAAGCCCAAAAATTTGACTCTCTGTCCGAGTTCTAATACAGCCGCCTACCCAAAAAACAACACCAACCTCGATCCACCGTCGATCGGCAGCTTGCCCCTTTGCTGTAGTCGGCCGCCGCGGTGGCGAAAATTTAAGGCGTAAGCGTATCCTTTCACTGTACGCCAAACCCCGGTCTTGTTGAAGCGGTTGCCTCAGATTCTATATTCCCCTATGTCTGTACGAGTTCTTCCAGCTGCCTCCAAGCTTAGCTAGGGTTTGTCATATCTGTTTGCACGAGCAGGTGTTGAATACACTGCGATATTTAGACATGTCGAAGCGGAAGTTCGGATTCGAAGGCTTTGGCATCAACCGCCAATCGACATATAATTTCGAGAGATCTCAAGCTCCTCAGCGGCTGTATGTTCCTCCTTCATCACGTCACGGGCATGACAATTTCGAGGATACTGACCTTGACAACATCGAATATGACGATAATGATGCTCCCAAAGACGGAAACAATGGCAATGACAGCAAGAACGATGGCAACAGCGACGATATTGATCCCCTTGATGCTTTCATGGAAGGGATTCACGAGGAAATGAGAGCCGCGCCGCCTCCGCAGCCGAAAGAGAAGGCAGAGGACAGGTATAGAGATGACGATGAGGACGACCCGATGGAGAGTTTCTTGAGGGCGAAGAAGGACGTAGGGCTGACTCTGGCGTCCGATGCTCTGCACGCTGGGTATGACTCCGATGAAGAGGTTTATGCGGCCGCGAAAGCTGTAGACGCGGGAATGATAGATTATGACTCCGACGACAACCCCATTCTTGTCGAGAAGAAGAAAATTGAGCCTATTCCTGCTCTGGACCACAGTTCCATTGAGTACGAGCCCTTTAACAAGGATTTTTACGAGGAGACACCTTCAATATCAGGTAATGGCACAGCACTTACTTTGGAGTAGCCAAAACTCATGATTGAATTTGAGGTAGCTCCTTAAATTTGCTCGCACATATCGTTCGTTGTCCTCCTTGAATTGAATTTCTTTATGTCACTTTTCGCCTGGGATTTAAAAGCCGACTCTTGAAATTTTTTTCCCTCCATTTACGCCAGTTAAGTTATTGACTTCACGGACGCTTTTGGAATAAAGTATAGCTTGGCTTGATTACAATTATTGATTCTGTCATATTGCTGATGATCGTGTTGTTAACTTACTCTAGGTATGAGCGAGCAAGATGTTGCTGACTACAGGAAGAGTTTGGCCATTCGTGTATCGGGTTTTGATGTTCCGAAGCCAATTAAGACATTTGAAGACTGCGGTTTCTCTTCACAACTTATAAATGTCATAAAGAAGCAAGGCTATGAGAAGCCAACATCAATTCAGTGCCAGGCTTTACCAGTTGTGCTCTCTGGCCGAGATATAATTGGTATAGCAAAAACTGGTTCTGGTAAAACTGCTGCCTTTGTCCTTCCTATGATTGTGCATATCATGGATCAGCCTGAACTCCAGAAGGAAGAAGGTCCAATAGGAGTAATCTGTGCTCCCACTAGAGAACTGGCGCATCAGATATACTTGGAGGCGAAGAAATTTGCAAAATCGCATGGGTTACGTGTCTCTGCTGTCTATGGTGGAATGTCAAAACTAGATCAGTTCAAAGAACTCAAGGCAGGCTGTGAGATAGTTGTCGCTACTCCTGGCAGATTGATAGACATGCTGAAAATGAAGGCACTTACAATGATGAGAGCAACTTACTTGGTGCTTGATGAAGCTGATCGGATGTTTGACCTTGGATTTGAGCCACAGGTAAGGTCCATCGTTGGTCAGATCAGGCCTGATCGTCAAACTTTACTTTTTTCTGCAACAATGCCCCGTAAAGTTGAGAAGTTGGCCAGGGAAATTCTTAGTGATCCTGTTAGAGTGACAGTTGGGGAGGTTGGAATGGCAAATGAAGACATTACTCAAGTGGTTCAAGTGATTTCTTCTGATACAGAGAAATTGCCTTGGCTTCTTGAGAAGCTGCCTGGAATGATTGATGAAGGCGATGTCTTAGTATTTGCTTCCAAAAAGGCCACTGTTGATGAAATTGAATCACAACTGGCACAAAGAGCTTTTAAAGTGGCAGCTCTGCATGGTGATAAAGATCAAGCTTCTCGAATGGATATCTTACAGAAGTTTAAATCTGGTGCCTACCATGTTCTTATTGCGACTGATGTTGCTGCTCGTGGTCTTGACATCAAATCAATTAAGTCAGTGGTAAACTTTGATATTGCAAAAGATATGGATATGCATGTACATCGCATTGGCAGAACAGGTCGTGCTGGTGACAAAGATGGGGTTGCATACACTCTTATAACTCATAAAGAAGCACGTTTTGCTGGTGAGCTGGTTAATAGCTTAGTAGCAGCTGGTCAGAATGTGTCCATGGAGTTGATGGATCTTGCTATGAAGGTAATTTTTCTCGTTGATAATATTATTTGCTGCTTATTTTGTACTAATTTCCGTTAACCTCTATGTACGGACCCCATGCTTGCAGGCCGTCCTGCTTAAATATATGTTGTGGTTCTTATTATTGTAGGTTTTGTAGACTCCTTTATCTCTGGGTTAGAGATTGGTTTGCTTTTGTTTTTGGTAGCATTTTGATTATCCTGTTTATGATAGAGCACATTGGTGTCATGCGATTCATGTAGCTGACCTCACCTAGTGGGATAAAACTTGTTGTTGTTGTTGTTGTTTGATTATCCTGTTCATGATCTGCCATTTCTTGTATGTATGATAATACAACCTTTGAGTGCAACAAATTGTCATGATTGATTTGTGCAGTTTT